AAGAATTAAAAGATGACCTTGATAAGTGCGATTGTATTGCAATACTAAACGACGCGTCAAACCATAATAACAAGAAAATATACCCCATTATAGTGCGCTTTTTTCAACTTTACATAGGTGTGCAAGTAAAAATTTTAGATTTCCAAGACCAACCTGGTGAAACTTCTGACATCATTGTCAATTATTTAAACTAAGTGTTAACAGATAATAATTTGACAGCAAACGTCATAGCATTTTGCGGGGACAATGCCAACGTCAATTTCGGAGGTGCAGTTAGGCGAGGAACTTAACAAAATTACAATCATCACTGAAAAAAGAATTAACAGGTATCATATGTGGAGCTCATGTAATTCACAATACAGAAAAATCTGCTGCTGACAGGCTACATGTAGATTACGAAAGTGTTATTGTGAAGATATATTCATTTTTTTATATCTATACGATTCGACTTGAAGCTCTAATGGAGTTTTATGCTGAAACTGAAACAGAATATCAACAAATGCTCAGCTATAGCAAAACCAGATGGCTTGCTCTTATGTCTGCTTTGGAGAGGGTTTTAAAAATGTATCAGCCATTAAAAAGGAACTTTCTGAGTATTGAAAAATGTCCCGTTACTAAAAAACTTTTTTTAAGATCCCACATCTGAATTGTGGTTTTATTTTTTACACGCTCAGTCAGCAAGTTTTTATCAAGCTGTCTTAAAACTTGAAGGTCAGACTATATCGGCAATTGAAGCTGCAAAAGAAATCAATCAATTAAAAGACAATTTAACTCAGAAACAGACCAATCAGTTTCTTCCATTTATGGACCATCAATTAATGTTAAAATTGAAAGATAGTGGTACTGATATCAATGAAGAATTTGTGAAAAGGACGGCTACAAAATTTTATAAAACAAGCCGTGAATATCTGGAGCAGTGGACTTCCTTTCTTACCAAAGAAATGGAGATATTTTATTGGGCAGATTTAAAAAAGGTCTCCACATGGGAAGGCATTCAAAAATCTCTGGATGTATTAATTGAAAAGCAATATATTGACTATAATAAAGATACTTCAGTTTTTGACGAAATTGTTTTGACGAATTACATTACATCGCAAAAAATAACGGAATGGAATAATTTAAATGTTTCCTCGGAAACCCGTTGGGTGGAAGTATTCAAACACTTTTGCGCCAACAATCTTCAGCGTGAAAACTTTTCTATTGTAATTGAATAGATTTTATGTTTGCCTGCTACAAATGCTCCAGTAGAAAGAATATTTTCTTTATGAACAAATTGTGGACATCTGAGAAAACCCAGTTACAAATTTCAGTTCTAAAGGCGATGTTGATAATTAAGGTGAATATAAAAAAAAACATGCCAAGAGTTTTATTCTTACTTCAAATCGTCACCAGCTATATTAAATCAAATTTGTTCTTCTGATAAATATAAATATAACTAAACATTTTGGCTACCTATATTTTGTGATTCGTAACTTTTAAGCCAACTAACGTTTTCTGAATAAATAACTTTAAAAAAGTGTTGTTTTTTTCATTGACTACCTATGATTTCACCTAAACAAACCAATGTCCCATTTTGAGTCAAAAAATAAACGGTCACGTTAGTGATTCTGCACTTTACCCAAAAAAATAAATTACAGTCAAAAGTCTTTAATCCGGACTCGTTGGGACTTCGACGATTCCGGATTATCGGTTTTTCCGGATTATAGATCATCAGTTTAAATCTGGTAAGATGGCATGCAGAAATTATAAAATTAAAATATGAAACCTTAATTTATCAATAACGAAGCAATTATGATCTAAAGGTATCAATTTACAAAAAAAAAAAAAAAAAAAAAAAAAAAAAAAAAAAAGCTAATATTTATTTGTTTACTTTATTAACATTTCTTTCAATGCGCACATGCGTAAGCTACATTCGCTAGTCAAAATTAGAAAATTGCTACCAGAAAACTATTTGATGTGTATTCCTAATATTTATAATGACGAGGAATTTGATTTATATCATATCAATGACGGAGTACACCGAGATGAAATACTACATTTAGTAAGGAATTCTAAGCCTAATAAAATAAGGCTGATCTTTGGAATATGGTAACTGGTATTTTGGCGACATTTTGGAGGTGATAAAGGTTACTACCTAGGACTTTGGTAATAATGTGAGAAGCATTCAGTTTCCGATTACGCATTATTTTGTGTGAGGAAATGAAGATCATGAGATATGTCATGTGACATTAATGGACGAATTACAGTTCTTAATCGGAAAAGGGGGGAAATCTGGAATTTCATATTCTATATTCTGTGTTGTGGAACGTGACATTATGGACGAATTAAGTTCTTTAATCGGAAAGGGGGTTATTTGGAAAAGTTCATTGTGTGTTGATTATTTTCGGATTGCATGGCGCTATGTAAAGTGAATTCTAAATTTTTAATGCGTTTATCTTGATAATAAGTTGAATTGTGTGAAGAAGGATATTCAGTTAAGTTTGAATGGCGGTGCAAGAAAATCTGGTGAAAATGGACATTTTGTGAAATGGAGTGTAAGAAGGGTACGTGGTTTGCTGAAAGTAGTTTGAGTATGAGTATGAAATTTTATTAATTCTTATTACTGGGTGAATAGACTGCCAGTTGACTACTGGATTTCGATTTTTAGCAGTAGTACTGTAGCCGATGGGAACGCTTCTGTAGGGAAGTGTGCGTGCCATGTAATGAAGATTCTGAAGAAGATTAGGTAAGTTAGTATTTTTAATCATTTGAGGATATTATTTTTATGCATTGTTCTAAATGTAAGGAGTAAATAAATTAATATGGTATTATTGGAAAATTGTTATTAGCAATGATTTAGTTTAAAGTAATTAGGATTGTAATCTAATTTTATTAATTTAATGTATGTGCTTATTTATATTTTAAGTAGTGTTTTTTAATTTAATTATATTTTAATCTAATGATCATGATTTTGTGAGTTATATGTTGTAGTATTTTGGAATACGTTTGAGTAGTATACGTTGAGTATTTTCATGCATTTTCGTGAAATTTTTCTAATTTATGAGAAAAAAGCAGTGTACATGGATATAGTGAAGAGTGTGCGCAATGCCATTTTTGTGCAATTCTGGGATGTTTTTTTAAGTAAAAATAAGTCGACGTGTACATGGTTTAGTGATATTTTAATTAAATGATAGTTATTTTGTGAATTTTATGTTTGTAGGAATTTGGTATACGTTTCAGTTGAAGTAAACGTGTATGGAAATAATTTAAATATTTGACACTAAGTATTTGTAACTATTTTTAATGTTTGCGTATAAATTCGTTGGTGACGTTTATAATATAATAGATAATTTAGAGGTAAAAGTTTTTGGATATTTTATTTATTTTATACGTGGAAATGTTCATCCTTGGAAAGGGTATATACTTTTTCGCGATCAGGTAATTTCATATATGTTCTTTTTACCGAGTTTAAAGATTCACAAAATTTTCATGCATTTTCGTGAAATTTTTCTAATTTATGAGAAAAAAGCAGTGTACATGGATATAGTGAAGAGTGTGCGCAATGCCATTTTTGTGCAATTCTGGGATGTTTTTTTAAGTAAAAATAAGTCGACGTGTAAATGGTTTATGTGTATGTGCTATTCTGAAAAACGCGCAAGGAGTTTGCGATTGTGCACTTTTTCCCAATTTTGCAGTTAATATTTGTCATGATTAAGCAGTTTTGTTACATAAAATTTCTAGCATAAGTGTAATTCGGCTAGTAGATTGTTGGAAAAAGTGTTCAGTAAATAAAAAGAAAAGAAACATGTCTTTAATGGCGGCGAAAAAAAAAAAGAAGGTTGCTGTAGCAGAGTTGGTCGCCAAATTTTAGCCAAAAAATCGCCAAGTTTTCATAATCCAAAGATCAACCTAAAATAAAAACATCTGACTTGAAGATAAGGATAGTGCTGTCAGATCAACTGTAAGTTCATTGCGTGCCGCAACGCCCCCCCCCCGTAGAGCGCATGAATTGATAAACAGATTTGGGATGTAGAGAAAAAGGATTCCTTTTATCCATTTTTTGTTTATGGCATCAAACATGTTCGCTTGTAGATCCTTTGGCATTCCCGAATCCGTAACCTTTTGACATAATAAAGTTCAAATTACTTTTTATAAAATGCTCTAACAGTCTAACAAAAAATAATAAGCCGGATCCAATTAGAGATTAAGGAACACGCAATCTGCACATTAACTGAAATAGATAATTTTAATTTTAGCTTAGCTTATACCGTCCGTTATACATTAAACGCGCATGCGCAAACGCATTATGTGTTGACACATGTGCAGAAAGTTTGTAGCTTTGAGGTCCGGATTACAGATCATTTCGGGTTACGGATGTCCGGATTAAAGACTTTTGACTGTATATAACTGCCAGATTTTTCAATCTAAAATATTTAATTAATTAAGGAAAAAATTTTATAAAAATATTTATATCTGAAGCTAAAACATTTAATATTACTTTCATAAACCATTGATGATTTTATTTTTGAAAAAAAAAAAAAATTATGTATACTGAAAAATTTACAAATTTATTTACATAAAAGGCCCCCTTTTTTTTGATAACATATAAATATTTACTGTTTCGCAGATTCAGACTGAATGGGTTATAGTAAATCACATATGAACTTTCTGTTGAATTAAATTGTTTTAAAAAAATATTAAAAATTATATCATTAAAAATCAAATACATAAAAAATATTTTCAAATATTATACTAAAATGTCATTAATTAAACAATACGAATAATTAATGAATACCATCAAATGTTTTAGAGAACTAAACGGAGTTGCATAAAAAGTTTAAAAATTCAGAATACAAATATCACCACAAAGAATTAAATATGCATGTTAAAAAAATAAATCCAAAAAATGACATTGAATAAATGCCTGTTTATACTAGCAATAATTACATACTCATTACTCAAATATAAAGTATAAGAATGATATTCTGAATATCAAAACAGTTTGAGAGTTCCGATTTTACCTAAGTCCTGGGTCTGATCCGCAAGAGTGTAATCTAAAACAGTAGTTGATTCATCTTCAACAGCAAGTCCAGATAAAATGTTTTCAATTCCGGCTTCTAATCTATCTGCCATCTGAATATGCGTCTATTTACACTAAACTTTCACTCTGTAAATATAAAGGTTAATTAAGAAACTTTCAAGCTCTACCGGTACGCACACATCCGTTTAAGACGACACCACATTGACAACTAGATAGATACTCAATAACAAAACTTCAAAAGCAATACAATGTCGAGTTTAGATGTTCTCAAACTGAAACTGGTATGCTTGGAATGCAGGTAATTTTCCTTCAAAAATAATAGTACATTTAAAAATTAAAAAAAAAAAAAAAAAGAAAAAGAACGTAAATTTATCTTAAAGGATGCTTAAAGTTTTTGTCAATAAATAAAATTCTTAAGGTTAACATGCTTTATATATTGCCCAAAATCTGCAATTTTTAAGATTGGATTTACATATTAAATGCTATAATGAAAGAAACATTTTTAAATATCGGCCGAATAACAGTTTTGCAAACTAACTATTTGTTAACAGTATTTCAGATAACTAAAGTGTGTCAATACCTAGGTAACAAATGCGATTTTGGGTGCAAATGGAAATACCATTAATGTAGCTTTCTCTGTTGGCCAGGTCCCATTCCCAGCACCATCTTTGGATATTCTTCGGAGAACAGCCTTGACGCCAAAAAGGGAGGCCCGTTTACACTAGCGGAACTTTGGTCCCAAGAAACGTACGCTAACGTTAAGTTGTTACTCCCAAGGATCCCACCCGTCCGTGTATGGTTGTCATCCGATGACGTACTCCGTGATACTTTTGCCCTGCTGAGGAATTATGCGTAGTAGCAGATCGGAGTACTTATTTGAAAAATATCTGTGCATTTGCTGTTTGCTTATCAACGCAAATTAGCTATTATTTACACTGCTAATGAATGGATTAGATGAGACTGGGTTATATTGGGCTACGACAAAGTACACAAGTGCTATCCGCCTAAGATCCTAAGGCGCGAAGAATTTCTTCTCTGAGGACTTTCCCAGGGAAATTGGTTCATTGGTTTATATCAATGTTACACATGAGAAAAATCAAGGAAACTCCTATGTTACCTGCTAACCTAGTGGCATTTATAACCACTGGATCGAATAACCAGTGTTCAACGATTTTAAGCAGCTTAAAATAAATGAAAATGTTAAGCACAGTCTCTTGATTGACTGAAAAGGAATGGAAATCAAGATACTGTACGGAGTCAATAATTTTATAATTGACTCCTACAGTATCTTGCTAATAAATAAATAAAATAATATATCATAATAAAAAACGTTAATTCAGTTCAGTAACAGTAACTGTAATTAAAAATTTCCTTCTGCTGTTTTCTTTCAATCTGGATGTTTCGTACAGCTTGAGGGGAATTAAAATATCGAGGTACAGCAAAAATAAAATAATAAATTAAAGAATAAAAATTCTCGTTCAAAGTAATTAGGTACTTTTATTTGGCAACATTGCGTTTCATTATCCCGCCAAATTTCTTTGCATTTGTTTATGATGTTTGTCGAATAGTTAGACTCTTTATTTTATAAGAAGTCTCCGAGGAAGTTTTAAGTGATATGTTTATTTATATTAATCTAATATAATTTATGTGGTTTATGGTTATCATAGTGATAAAAGGCTTTAAATGTCCTCTAACGGTTTTAATTATGTCATATTTAAAAAGAATTACGTCTATAATTTCTTTATTTGATATCTTTTAATTTTTTCAAGACGTTAAATATTATTGTAAAGGAAGCGAATTTTGATAATTATGTGTCTAAAAATTCTAACATTTGAGTCAAAATTGTATAATTGCTTATTGAGCCTCGAATTTGTGTTATGGCTTTTTATTTTTTATAAAGTCTTTGCTTCGAAGTGAACAATTAATATATATATATTTAAATTTCAGTATTATAAAATGGAAACCGAAATTCCTTTGAATCAAGAAAGATTTCATAGTGAATCCTGATGGAAGCATTAGTAAGGAAATATATTTTGTTCATACTCAACAAATTAATGGATATTTTCATGCCGAAATTTGTGATATTTTAATAATCCATCAAAAACTCTTTAATAGCTAATTTATCACTTCTGAAATCTTAGTTAGAAGTTTAAAAATTATTTAAAAGCATTTTAATCAATCTGTGCGTGGTAACTTTAAATTGTAGCTTCTATAAACAAAATTATCGAACATTAACAGTCCTGATTCTTTTTTTTACTTTTGATTTTTCAAATTTTTAACTTTGATTTTGAAATATAAATTATTTGTAAGAATACTATTAATTTCATTATAAATTATATTATTGTAAATAATACTTTTAGAATTAATACTTTATCATATTATGCATATATTTAGAAAATTTACATAAGTAATGCATTCAATAGATGTAATAGGGTCGTATTGTGCTTTTTTTGACATAATTGCATATAACAGTTTTAATTCTGTGCAGTAAGTAAAGATAAGCATACAGTTCATATGAAATCAATAACATTTAGAATCTTGCATTTATGCCTTGAAAATATTTTCTGTTCGCATATTTTATTTAAAGAGATCTATTTCTTGGGTAAAAGTATATTTATCGGTACCCCTTGGCGAATTTTGGTGGTACATGGATACCGAGTTTGTGCAATTCTTTGACTTGTTATTTTGGATTGTGAAGTGGTGATTTTTGAGCCAAAAATTGCCTCTACAAAAAGCCAAAATAACAAGAATAACAAGAATTCGGTATCCAAGTGCACATCGACCTATTTTCACTTAAAAAAGCATCCCAGAATTGCAGAAACTTGGCATTGCGCACTTCCTTGACTTTATCCATGTACACATTGACCTTATTTCGCTTAAAAAAAATCAGAGAATTGCACAAACTAGGCATTGCGCACTCGACTTTGTCCATGTACACACTGAACTATATTCACTTAAAAAGTCAAAGAAGCAGCCAACAAAAAATATATAATCTCAATAAACTACATTTTAGGTTCTACACTTATATGCACCCTGAGATCACCAAATGTGGCGATATGTGTTCTGTGCTGGTTTTTGGCACGGTTGCGTGTTGTATGGCGACCCTTTTGGCGTTGAATACTCTTTTGCTGGAGTTTTTAATTGCTCGTTGGTTCGTGTCGTGCATGTTTTGAAATGGCCTATGTCGCAATGAGAGACGTGGTTGCAAGAGGGTCTGGGAGATTTTTTTAGTGGCCGTGCATGATAGAAGGAAGGAAACGCTGATGCAGTGTATTAAAGGGTTTTGAACATTTATTTGTGAACCATGTACACATCGAGTGTGAGTTTTCCGGATAGTGTGTCTGGCTATCATATAAATACGATAGTGATTACTTGGCGGCGTGAAATTGGTATTTCTGCGGTTCGAGAAATCATTCATTCATGTACATTTTATTTTATTCTTGTTCTTATTTTGTAGAATGTTATGTTCATTTTTTTTTTTTTTTTTTTTTTTTTTTTATGAATTTCTGTCATTATTGTTGTTTTTTTTAATTGTTGAACTTTATTTAGCTATTTTTTGATTAGTGCATATGCCTAGATTTGCAATTCGTAGTGTTTTTAAGTTTAACAAATGCGTGTACATGGTATTCTTTGAAATTTATTGTTGTTACTTTTTAAAGCAGGTTGCGTAGTTCGTAGATTCTTCGCTGCTGATGTGCATTCGTAGATTTTTGGTACTATCTTTTTTGATGGCCGTAAAAAAATTGCAGCGAAAATTATGCCAAAGCGCCAATCTATCAAACGGCGATTTCAGATGCGTAAGTTTTAAGTTCTATATTTCTTAAACGCCATTGAAAACTAGTTTATTTTTAAATTCTTTTTGATTTTTAAATCCTTTTTTGATATCCTATGATTTATAATTTGGGAACTGACCATGACGAAAATCGGCAATAGAATTTTGGGTAAGTGCCAGAATCATCCCTGCTTGACGCGTTTTAGACTGTGCATACTTGGTGTCCTGGCCATTGACCTATTTTCACTTTAAAAAAAAATCCTGAATTGCTCAAATGGCACGTGCTACTGCTTTGCAACTTTCACATCGACGTTTTCACTTAAAAGTAAAAAAATGACAAAAATCAAATTGTTTCATCCTTGTAAAACGCGGTGAACAAATACTGAGCGATTCTGCACTTTACCCGAGAATATTTCAAAGAAAAGGCATCATTCATTAGAATTACTTTGAACAACCAAAGAGTGAATTATGCTTAGCCTAGCGTAGCGAATAGTGATGCAGCATCCATCACTATGTTTGCATTTTTATATAATTATAATACGGATCTGAATAGTTACTACTAATTACTCTTTGCTCATCATCATGTTTAGTTTTTTTCAATAATTTAATAATAAAAAAGTATTGTAATGAAATTACCTTTCATCTAAATTAACATCAATCTAATAGTTTTTTTACTATTATATTACTTTCTTGCCGCAATTATTTTTGGCAGCATTGCATCACAATAGTTTGGCGATTTTTACGGCCCTCGAACCGAATAGTACAATTTTTTTTAAGTTAAACATATCGCGTGTACATGATTCTTTTCAAAATTTTTTGGTTAGACCTTTATGTTTTTGCTATCTAATTTTTTTAATGTGTGTCAAACGGATTTTTTGCATGTGTGAAACCGCGTTATTGGAGACATTTTAAGCTTAAAGTTCAAAATGTAGACAAAAAATTTAGATAGTAATATGGCACCGTGGAGTTTCTCTCCAAAAATGTTTGCCGACTTGAGGGCACATATAGGAGTAGTTCCACATTTTAAATCAAACAATGAAATAACATAAAAAAAAGGAAATTCATCTTAGCTTTACACAAAAGAAATATCCACTTACCTTATTTACAAATTTCTGGGTCTTCAGTCAAACATAATTCCTTAACAACATCCAGGTACTTTTCCGTTTTGCCGGCGCAAACGATAAAGTCGCCACTAATGGTACAACTGATGCCAAGCGGAATATCTTCGCTGGTAATCTTTTACCCTTTATTTTCAAAACAATATTGACAATTACATAGAATTTTTACAAGATAGTTAAATTTTTTGCCCTAAGACCATTCGCGGTAATTAATTAGGATGCATCACACCACCACCTAAGGCAAAATCAGAGTTAATTCATCAATCTAATGAATGCCTAGCAAAGTAGCACTGCGTTTTTACATAATTTC